ATAAGCTAATATTTGTTTAGATTTTTTCTTTGAAGGAAAACAAATCGATATTCTTCATTTCAATCTAAAACGAGGAGCACGAATATTCCTCCTGTAAGGGCATGAAATTTGAACCCTGTTTTTAAAAAGCTATATATAAGCTATATTTAAGTGTTTCTACAAACCTTGTTCTACGCCAAGGTATAAACGCTCCCCAACGCGCCCCACGTTTTGTGATACTTTTTCCGAATTGAAATGATTGCATTTTTTGATGGAAAAATGTAGCCTCGCGAAGACGAATGTGACATGTCACTGGAAGTGTTACTGTTGTAATCACAAGCTAATCACAAAATAGCAGGACAGCGGCGACTGCTTCCTCCAAACAACAGTATTAGGTGAGCATAAAATGTTTAAAATTGGTATATAAATAGGCTGATGGGTACTCTGATGTAGAAATGTCTGTTTTTGTAGTAGGCCTTAAAAAAACATAATAAAATCGCAGTCATACATGTGATTCTCTGTATGCAGGTATAAAATCAGTAGGTTAAGAATTACAGACATTAAATGAAATGATAAGTTTGATTATACAGTTAAGCCCTGTGCATTTGGAAACCAGCCATCCTCTATGAAAAATGATTATTGAGAGAATTGAAAGAATAGTGCATCGCAGAAGAAGAGTTTCATAACACCCACCAAGCTTGCCCTTTACTTTTTATTCACAGAAATATGCACATCACTCTTGAGAAAACAAAATCATAATCTACATCCAAGATTAGTGTGTGTTGTTGTGTGGATGTTATGTTTATGTCAGTTTCAAGGTTTCATGAATTTGGTTACTGTTTTGACTGATGAGAAATACTGCCGGGGCAGCTAGGCAACAAACTGCTTATTCAATTGTGTCTAGCCTCTATAGAGAAACGCGAAGAGTGCACGAGGAAGGAGGGAGGGATTTCAACATTCACCTGGTGGATGTTTAAAGTGCAAGAAACAATAGTCACCTGGCAGGCATTTCCCTCCCTCCCTCCTTCCCTCGCGTTCCTCTTGCACCAAAAACCCCCTTTTCCTTCCCTTGGAAATGCCATTGCCACAAAGGCTAAGTGATGCCATTCAATCTGTTTACCCGTTTACACTGTTCAATATATATCAAGCGATTTGCATATTTTGGTGGCTTGAGTTAAAATATAAATTGCTTGATCATTGAATGTACTTTTAATATTGGAAAACCAAGACTGTGAAAATGGTGATGGGAAAAGGAAATATAAAAAGTGGAACGATGGGGCGGTAAAACCGTGAGACTAGGAACCTGAATTAACCAAGTAAGCCTAAACAGGTTCTTATATAAATGGTAGTTAGCAGAGGTTTAGGCTATTTAGGCTTTTAAATGGGTTCATGTTTTCTGAAGAAAAAATATAGCTATTTTAGGCTAAACAGGTTTTTATATAGAGCGGGCTCATCTGGCATATTTTAGTCTAACTGGTTCGTAAAATTCAGGTTGTAAGTCACGGGGTTTTACTGTACTACTAGGATCCACCACTGCAATAAATGCATGGTAACCCAAAAGCCTGCTTTACGGACACCCGCTTAATACAGACACCCAGGAGCCCATAACCCGGAGCGTGCAACTGCCATAAATTCGTGCAACGGCGTTTTTACAAGTGAGTTTTTTTTTAGATAAGCTTTTCCCGCGAAAAATGACTGTTGTCGCTTGGACCTTTTCACAGTCGGCTGTTTCGAAGATGATTTCGATTTCCCTTTCCGTGAATTATGCGTTGTCGCCGATGAAGTAGACGTCCCAGGCTCTTCTACGTTTTGCAGATCTTCCTCTGAACTGGTAGTTTCCGTGTAAATACTGAAATTGTCGCTTGAAGTACTGTCAGAAGAATCCTCTGAAGATTCCTCACGTGCTTCCCCCACGCTTTTTTTCCAATGTGAAGGAGTTGTCCTGGTTACGTGTTAAAAGTTTATTATTGATGACGCACGTGCTTGTGATTGGCTTTTCGCAAGCAATTCGCGGGAAAGGCTTATCTAAAAATATACCTACTTGTGAAAACGCCGTTGCATAGGCGCAGTATGGAAGTTAGACGCTCCGGGTTATGGGCTCCTGAGACACCTCATCAAGGCTGTGCTCTAGCAGAGACCGGTTGCCCAGGGAACCTAACTTTTACTCTTGGGTGACTAGAAAATCTCAGATTTTTCATACAAATCATATGCTGGGCAGCCTAGATTTTACAGGTTCAGAGAACTGGGCTCCTTTCAATGTTCCTTAGATCAAAGCCTTGCTCATCATTGCAGACAGCTTGCTTTGTTCCCGGGAAAAAAGCTCTGAAATTTTCTCTAAATTAAAATGGACAATTTCTACAGTCCACTCAGTGTCCGTATCACAGGGTTTGACTGTAAATATAATGAGACTTATGACATCATGTTTGAATTGGGAGGAGGAAGGGGCATTACAAGAAAGGAAAGGCGTTTCCCGCCATTTTACCCCAGGAGATTTGTAAACATGTATAAGTTTCACATTTTGAAGAGTTTTTACACTACAAAAAAATATTTAATAGCATGTGTTTGTACATACTGACACAATCATTAAACAAATATTGGCTGAACAACTTTAAAAATCTATTGACTGCATCAGGCTTTGTAATCACAAATATGCAATTTTCAGTTTCAATCCTCTTATAAGACATCCTATGACTCAAACCAATAGGAAATACATATAAAAAATAACTAAGATAGCACGCGAGCTCTGATCGACCAAGAAGTGTGTTTGCATGAGAGTATGTAGACATGGTTGTGACGTCAAGATGTTTTGCTTTCCGCGCGCTAATCACGCAAGCATGAATTTGAAAAAGGTTTTGAGTTGAAAAACTCGACAAGTTTACTTTATTTACTCATTTCCTCGTCGGTTGAAACTTGAAAATCTTTTTACAGTCGCGTAAAACTAGGCAGTGTTAGAACTGAATGGTCGAAAATGTCACGTGGTTGTCCTCAGGGATCTTCATTTGGTCCATTATTATGGGACTTATTCCAGAATGACATGACCATGTTGGTTAAAGGCACAAACCTTTTCATGTATGCTGACGACCATCAGCTATATGTAACAGGGTCGGACTACAACATTGCATCTTCCAGGCTACAATATCAAGGAAAGTTAGCCATGTCATGGTACGGGGATAACGTTCTACTTGCCAACACAGAGAAGTTTTAGTGTCTTACTATCAATCCAAGAAACATTGACTCAGATAAACAGACTGAGGCCCTGCAGATTGAAGATCAGATCATTGCCAACACTTCGCAAACAAATTACTTGGAGTTGAAATAGATGACAAGCTTAATTTCACCAGCCATATCAGTAACATTTGCATCAAAGCCAGTCAAAAAGTCGGTGTCTTATTGAGACTGCGAAATTTGATACCATGCAAAGCAAAACTGATAATCTACAAATCATCCATCCTGCCTCACTTAACATATTGCCATCTGGTATGGCATAACTGTAGATCTTCTGACAGTAGAAAAATAGCGCGGATTCAAGAACGTGCACTTAGAGCAGTATTTAACTCCCATTCAGAATCATACGAAAACCTTCTGGTTCGTACAGAGCTACCTTCACTACTAAATCGAGGAATACAAGATATCGCTATATTAATGTACAAAGCAAAATATGGCCTCGCACCGAGTATTGTTAACGAACTATTTACGCAGAAAAGCACTAGTTATTCACTAAGAAACAGTGATTTTGATATTCCAACTTTTAACACTATTAACTGCGGAAAGCATTCTCTTAGATATCAAGGACCTCATATATGGTCGAAACTAGATATTAATTTGAAAGGCTCCTCGAATATTGAATCTTTCAAAAAGAACATTAGGAAAAAAGACCTGACGTCACTCTTAAACAACAACGATAGCTGCTGCAACCTTTGCAATTCTTAGAGACTACCTTTTATATAACTATTGTTTTATTATACCATTTATACGGGCTACATATTTTAATTGTATATACATTATTATTATTATTTCTTATTTGTAAATAATCTTTATTTTTCTGTCCCCAATTAGTTGTGAAAACTAAATACATTGACACATTAATAAAGCTTTTACTTTACTTTACTTACTCAAACTTTAGAAACATGCTGTATCAATTTGTTTTCGCTTGAGCTGACATTTTAAGCGAGAAAAACCCGTATTTTGGAAAGCATCTTTTTTGCAAAACAAAGACTGATTACGCTTACAAGCTTCGCGCACAAGACTTCGCGAGTGGTAAGAATTTCTCTTTTAATCAATGCTCTAAACTAGAGAGTTTTGCTTTTTTTCTCGGGAAAGTTATCTTATATACTTCGTCTCGTGTTTGCATAACTGTCTCAAATTCTCCCCACCCCTCTCGTGTTTATATCAGGCTCGGAAAACGTTTTCTATTGCTTAAATGCAAATTTGCAGTATTGCTTGAATAAAGGTGCTCGATATTATCTATAAAGAGGACACAAGTCAATCCTTGAACACAAATACTCTCTACTTTATTTACTTGTCTTCACGTGATGATAAATAACGATGATAAACAAAGGGAAATGCAGACTTGGTGCCGGTGACAGAGAACTAAGTCCTTGAAAAGATGACCCCCTCCACTTCTCTTATTATACCTAGCAAGTGAACATCTTGCTGAATGACAAAAGAAAGTAAGCTTACTGTGTTTAAATACCGTGGCCGGGTATTCTGAAGAAGCTCCTACCATTTTAGGTATAATAACCTATTGCACTAGTATAATTTATTAGGGAGTCTATATGGAGACTACCATGAATTACTTGCCATCATCACAGCTAAGAGTTATGCGTATTAGTACCTCTTACCTCTAGTTGCACTGATTTCATGGTGAATTCAAAATTTTCGGCGAACCGCAGGTCTTACCTCCTGCGTGCTTTTCATGATTGAAGCATTGAACTAAGCGATTCTGTGCCGACCTTCCTCGGTGAGTTGCAAACAGGATGCAAGTGATTACGAACAAAATACACTAGAATACACTTATCAACAGAACGTGAATGTCTTTTCTCCCTGAGAATTCGACAGACTTTGTTTTTCAAAAGTTTCCGGAAGAGATTCCAAGCAAAATCGTATATTTCTACAGTGTAATTAACAAATATTCTCTCCGCAGTCGAGATGTTTACTCCACGCCATCTTGACACAAATGATCAGATTTTGAATACCGACCATGATACTTAGCGATCGTAGTGCGCACACCACCTGGTTTTGATTCAAAGTTGCAATAGGCATGCAATACGTGCGAATGTAGACAAGCCAAGTAAACCGACCCAAGCGAAGCGAATGTCTGCCGCTGTGTCACAACACAGCATTTAACTTCGTTACATACGACCTACAGATAACGCACGGCAAACAAATCGGCAATAGAAAACAAACTTTTTGGGAAACATTGGTACATTGAGTGAAACAAACTATGAAATAATTTAATTTTCCCCTTTTGGAAAATAATCGTCCTCGCAGCACACGGTGTGAATGGTTTGGCTTATTGCTAGGAGTTTGACAGTATTTTTGCTCTCAGTTGTAGAGCACCTAAGAAGATGTCACGCAGAATTCCATGATCTCCTGCATGTCATAATTAAGGGTAGCATTGAATGGTACATGATTTCATTACATATTTCGGAAAGGAGGTAAAATGACCTCGTAAACAGGCTGCATTCTTTCACGTTCGAAGCGCAAAAGGGGCAGAGTCCAACATCTTCAAGTTAAAATCGCGTTGTGTTGTTAAAACCTTGGGTTAATTAGATTAAGCTTTTACGTGCAAACTGCGTGATAATACAACTCACAGTAACGGCCTGATCACATGCGCTGGGGAAGCAATGCGTATTAACAATGTGTTACCCGGTGTCCTGTTTCTCGCTTGGTTCATTCACCGGGCCGCGCGGTAACCGTACCGCGCGATAACTTGGAAAATTTCCACCCAGGATCCCGGCAACACAATCCTGTGATCCCAGCTAACCGTGCTGGCTCGGTTGTCATAAAATCGCAAAGATGAGTTTTGTTGCGTTAAGGTGCCGGGATCTCTGCAAAGCGAGCCAGCCTGGCTCATGTAATCAGGCCCTTAGGTTTATAGCCAGATTTTGCGCCCTCCCCTTGACTTCACCGATTGTTGAAAGCCCCTGAGAACACACAAAATTTCAGCCCCCCCCCCCTCCCCCAACATCTTCATACCTCCTTCACCATATTAAATGAAATTTTGGCCTTATCCATGTTCTCTGCATACAAATGTTTTCAAAATAAGTGAAAAACAATCCTAAACAGAAAGCCTAACCTCGTTTAAAATAAGTACAAGTAGTTTTCGACTATTGTTAAGACTGTTCATAACCACCACTTCATTTCAACACACTGTAACCACACTATCCCTTACTAACTAAATTAGCACTTTCAAACTACCTCACTACAACATCTAAGACCACTTTTACCTCCCACGATAATTACTTTTTGTTACTTCATATTAAATTCTACGAGAAAAAAGTTTCACTGATTAACAAACTGCAGCCATTATCTTACCTATTCAAGTCCAATATAACTCCGATCCACGCCTTTCACTCCACGCATCTCAACAAACCCCTAAAATATACAACGCTACTGCACTACTCACACATCCCTAATACACATAAAAAAACTTTACACACGCCCGATGACGCCCAAATAAAGGGTGTCCCAAAAGTTTGTTCCTCTAATTCCATGCGCTCAAAACTTTCTTCTTACGTGAAACTTCGAGAACATGTTTATTGCTCTATCGAGTTCATGTATTCAGAATTTCAGTAACCAGCAACCCCCCTTTGTTTTTCTTTTATCACACTCGCGGCATGGAGTGAGATACAGCATGTAGAGCCACAATAATTGATCTATGTTGAGCTCTTTATCACCTGGTACGCAGGAGCCACTTCGACCCCCCAAACAACATTTTTTTTTTGGATTCGGTAGCTGTGAAAAATATACTTTGGGCATTCATCCATACAAAGATAATCATCTCGGCCCCTATCCACACTAACACCTTTATACCTCTCTTTACAGATTTGAGACCAGCTGATCGTTGTTTGGCGGACTAAGCATAGGTTTTATTGCCTTCTCAGCGGTCTCTAACCTTCGCTTTTCATGAACCTAGGCCTGCTTCAGAATTGGCTTGCTAACTGTTGTGAGAGTTACCTCGTCTAGTTTCCTCTTTTGTATCTGGCCTTCTTTAAAACTATTTTATAAGCTTTATTCAGGACTATCATTCTTCCCATTCTTTTTTTTCTTCAAAACCTTCATTTCTCGATGACCATTTTACCACCCAACATTCGGATTTTTCCAGTTTTTCACCCCAAGCAATTTTTTCTATAGGTACTGGATGCCGGTAAATCGAATTAAACATGCTTATACTCTGACGCAGCTGAACGTTTTTGCGCTTAGAGAGTTTATCTTTCATGATATTCACAAAAAACAAGGAAGGGTTTTGAGCAATTCCGGCTACAAAAAACAAAAAATTTGTGGCGGGAAAAAGTACTTGCGCACGCGCGCCTTTGGCGCGGAAGTACACAAATCCAGTGGAATATTAGAGTCACAAGCTGGCGCAACAAGTATAAAATATTAAATAATATTGAACGACACGACTTTTGATTAAACGATTTGCTTACCAAGTCCAATCGTATTACATCACAGCCTTATAAAGTAGAGGAAAGAACTTTTAGGACACCTTGTACACGCTTCCACAGCGTCTTGTCATTTTAATATTTCCCTATTTAATGCAACACACGGCACGGTCCAAAGAATCGGATAAGGATAAAGAACGCGCGGACAAAAATGGGAACTTCGAGACTTTCGCAGACAAGTTCAAAGCTCAACGGGACAACCGGGATCGGAGCTTCACAATGCCCCACTTGAGGGTCTTGAGGGAAATAGCAGCTATTACTGACAAGGTTTGGTGACTGTGTAGAGCTTACAGTTGTTTTCAATGTAGCCAAGAGGTTTTGCTTTTGTTTGTATCTGCATCTTACTTAGCTTACTATTATAAATTTGTGCATGATTTTGTCACCATTTGTTAAAATGCTTCTCCTCAATTCTGTGTGTTCGCCCATTCAGCAAGTACGATGTCAATATTAGCGAGTTTCGATAAACCTTTGAACGTTCACAGCTCACGTACAGTTTCTTTCCATACATACAATTTTGTGGAGATATAAACTAAAGCCACCGCAAAATGGGAACTTAAAAACGCCTATAATCGATTTATCTCTAAAAACACCAGACTTAAACGACCCGTATTTTCCTAAAGGTGTTTTGAATATGAACGAACACTGTAAATGTGAGGGGCAAAAACAGTATATTATGAATGAAACATTGGTTCTATTTAATATAAGGGTCAGTTATTGTGCACATGTGATCAGAAGAATAAACAAGGGCACATAGTGCGTTTACGGTAAGTTTCGTTCAGTCTTTTTAATTCAGGACTACGTTCACTCGGACGATCATACTCAGCCTACTTATGAAATGACTCCTGGGTTCAAACCTTTCACAGAGATCCTGTTATTATTAATAACTCATCAATCTTACTCGGACTCCCTGAAAAAAACCTCGGGAAGCAACCCCCACCCCCTTAGAAATTGCCTCCCGTAGACTCCCCCTCCCCTCGGAATTTGTAATCACGTAAAAACTGTTTGGTTGTTTTCACAAGGGGGTCTGTAATAAATTTATAAACGTTAGGAATGTCTTTTGAATTTTGAGGAACCAAAAAATCCTCTTGAGCCCCTCGGATCTCACTGAAGCACTTCATTATACTCGGAAGGAGGTCTTTGAAGAGTTTTCCGAATTTCCGACAGTCCTAGATCCCCAGAATATTTTCAATAGCTGAGAGGACACTTCTGATGGCTGCCAAAGAAAACGCGATTCGCGCATCGTCAAACGTAGATAATGAATAATCTATATTCATTTGCCACAACTTATCAGATATGAAAGGTTCTTTTGTTACGTTAGCGACATGCAATCTTTTGTTCTAAAGTCATTTATGTTTACTGTTTTATTGAGTCTGTTGCTAGGTTGTTCCAAACTGTTCCAAGAAAGAGGTTTTGACAAAACTACCTAAAATCCACTTACTGTAATGCAATTATTCAAAAGAGCGTTCTTAATGACGTTTGAACTAGAAATTTAACCATGGGGGTCCGTGTGTACAAGTAGCAGGCTCTTTATAAGACCTCCTGGTCATTAGCATTGTCAGAAAAACATTTGTAGTAATTCCGAGTTTTCTGAATGACCTAATCTAAGTAATTTTTTGCTCTCCAAATTTCTCGTTTGATTGAGTTTTACATCGAACTACACGCTATCAAACCGTTTTCTGTTGGGGTACTCTTTTTCACCACCACAGATGTACGCTGTTCAATGTAAATGAGTGTAAATCTACTGGTTTTAATCTTTCTTAATCCCGCCTTGCGTTGCTTCGACTCCGTGCTTGATTTTCGAACTTCGCTCTGTAGCCAGGCTTTAAGTTTATCTAAGCGAGTCGTCCGGATCTCATTAGATCATTTAACTATACGTTTATAATAAATATTCACTGTTTTGAAATAGGAAAGATTGATTCTTTGGATTATTCAGAGATCAGTGGTTGCTTTTCTAAAGAATCGTCAAAATTTCTTCAGCCGCCGGAACAGAATGTCCTTATAATAAGTGTGCGCCGGCCAACAGGAGAAAGAAAAATTCAACCTACCTGTATCACGCAACCAGCTTAGTTTAATCCTTGGGAGAGGTCGAGGCTTTGATTTTCAGTCTCAGAGATAGTCAAAGAAAGCGTCGTCGAAAAACGTCCAAGCTTGCACACTAGCTGGGCCTCTAGATGAAAATTTCGAGAATCTCTACTACTGGTTACTGAGTAGTTAGTATTAAACGATAGAAAATCGTGGTCGGAGATTCAAGTTACGATGCGGCATTTCTGATGTCTGATTCATGTAATGGTCAGATGCAACATTCCTATGTAAATATAAGAGTCCTACCTAATCTAACCTGAAATTATTATGCTGCTCATTGAACAAATACAATCCTCTCTTAGGGACGGATCATTGGAAATAACCTGAGGTATTGAAGAAAAAGTGCCACAATAAGTAAAATAACATAAAAGCGGCGGAGCAGCGAGGCGCTTCTTAGAATGCATTTGGAGAGTTAGTTAGCCTTGAATAGGTTTCTATAAAAAAGAAAACCAGTCGCTTGGAAAGTCGTTTGGTGCACCTGGAGCATTAAACAATACTTGTTCAATTATTGGTAAGGGGAATTGAAATCGCAGCTCGTGATATTGAGAAAAGTTTTTACTTAAAAAAATTATTGATATTGCATAAATAGTTAGTCTTTCTTTGGATAAGAAGAGAGAAGGAGATAAAACAAAAAGTAAACGTCAAAACTGATGTGTCACTTTTTAAATCCATTGAGCGGTCAGCGGTCATCGAGCGAAATGGCCGCGAAATTTAAAGCTCCGTGTTGAAGGGAAATTAAGTTAAAGTTTCTTTTCAAATTTTCTTCCATTTTAACTTTTCATGTCAAAATCCTTTATGTAAACGATGTCTGCAACTAAGAGAGGAAAACAGAAACAACATGCAGGCAGAAGTTTCAGAAGAAGAAGACTTCGAAACATTTGTAAGAGAGTCGCTTGGGCAACTGAGCAAAGGTCAGAAACAAATCATTCAGGACATCTCCAACTTCAAAGCTAAAGTAAAGCTGAATGAAACAGCGTTAGATAAAATATCTAGCCAATTTAAGACCGTCAACGACAACTTTGAAGGTTTGACAACATTGCTTTTCAAAAAGCGTTGAGGAATGCTAATTGGACTCCAGTATACAAGAGCTATGATGTGAATGAAAGCTTAACTAGGTTCTTCCACACCTTTAATAGCATTAGCAATTCACATGCACCGCTTAAATCGATAAATATAATAGATAAGTCCGACAAGCCCTGGGTGACGAAGGGATTGAGAAAATCAATCAAAATTCGTAACGAGCTCTATAAAAAATCGTTGACAACTCGAAATATTTATTATCATAAGCAATATAAAATTTATCGAAACAAGATTGTTTCAATTAGTAAAGCCCTTCGAACCATATACTACGATAGTGTACTTAAGGACTCCACAAAAACCAAAAAAATGTGGGCTAATGTTAACCTTGATGTGAAGTATATGAAATAATTCATTTTTTTGAACTGCGGTTGTAGATGAAAGTGAAGAATGATCATCGCAGTAAATTTTCCAACTTAAGCAATTGGAAAGAAGAAGCCTGAAAAAAAAAAATTGCTTAAATTGGAAAATTTACTGCGGTGATCATTCTTCACTTTCAACTACAACCGCAGTTCAAAAAAATGAATTATTTCATATACTTCACATCATTTCACTCCTCACGGGAGATATGAACTCAATAAATTGACCTCGCTCCAAATGTGTGGCTTCATAGCTAAGTTGGTGGAGCAACGCACCGGCAACGCGGAGGTCACGGGTTCGAATCCCGTTGAAGCCCTGATTTTTTCAGGCTTCTTCTTTCCAATTGCTTAAATTGGAAAATTTACTGCGATGATCATTCTTCACTTTCAATGTTAACCTTATAATCAATAAAAAGCGGCCATCCTTGAATATTGACAATCTGAAAGTTAAGGATAAAAATGTCCAGCAACCATCTTCAACTTCAAATGCTATTAACAGGTTCTTCTGCAATGTTTAAAAGAGCACTTTTCAACTATTATCTTGCTCAGTATTGATCATCGCCACACCGACTCTCAAATGTTACATTTTTTTACGTGTGAGTGTGTATGTGCTTTTCTTTTTTCCTCTCTTTTGAATATTTTTCATATATTTTTCATAGTTTATAGGATTTATACTTTTCTCTTTTTTTCTCTTTTAACCTAAATAAAACTGTAATTTAATAAAAAGGGCAAGTAATTAGTTCAACTATATCCTGCCCTGTCCATTTATTCTTGTAACCGGATATTTAACTCTACAAATAGCATCTTTAATTCTTCAATCTTGTAATACAATATAAATAGCTTGTAAAATAAATAAATGGAGGAAAAAATAACCAATAAACAAAATCCAAAAACTCGAAAAAAAAGAAAAAAGTCTTCAAGTTTTGCGCATACCCGAACGTTCAAAGCTCAATATACCATGTGGCACGAAAAAAAAGGTACCACGGAGAATCTTGTTTTACGGGCGTGTCCCAAATTCATTTCCACCCCTAAGAGTAACAAATTCAACAACAACAATTATATAACTGGTGCTCTGCAAATTTTAATAGTAATAAAGATAACTTTCGAACACTTTCGTCTCAAGGACGTTTTGAAAGTATTGTCATAAATCTTTATCCTAATAACTCTGGTTTTTGCACCCTAAGCGAGACCAATCCACAAATTTAAACCCTATAAAGGTACGGCGAGAAGCCCTGTCACTTTTATAAGGGAGTTCCCCAGGAGTGTTACTAAACGGACTTACAATTTGCAATAACGAGACATTAAGACGGAATCCATTGGGAAATTATGTAATCACATAGGATGGTTTTTGGTGAAGGTGAAACAACAAAAGAAAAAAGTCAATTTTCTTTTATATTGAAAACCCTTCTTATCGTTTTCGTTACGTTACGATATTTTGAAAAGTTTTTCCCCTTAGCCTGTTATGCCGTCTACAAAGCCAATCATGTAGCCTGCGCAGCATGGTGTTTTTGTCGGGAACAATACTCCCCCCATTACCTCGCGGTTTCTCCTACCAATCATGAAATATATACAGGTACATACAGGGGACCAGTGACGTAATCCGACATAGCGCCCCTTTTCAGATTTTTCACTATATATATTTTTCCTTTTTCCCTGAAAATTTGACGTTTTACACAATAAGTACACTTTTCAACGGCTTATTTTGTAAAAGGAGACTCTGAAAGCATACAATATTACATTTTAATAGATTTAAAATTTACAGCACACTTTTGCGTTATTACTTGTAAATCTCCTCACGGCATCCACTGCCGATTTTCAGCAAATCACAGCAAATAGGTCTCAATGCAAAGATAAACGCCCAAAGACATGGCTTAAGAGCGGATGTCAGTAAATATCGACCAGAGGTCTGCAAAAGTGAAAAATCGAAAATTCTCACAAAAATTCACAAAGTAGCACTAGGTAAGCTGTTAACATAAATAAAATTTTTACATCGATCCGATAATTATTTTAGACGTACGGGGGGGTTATCGGTTTCGCGGCTCTCGGACCGGGTTTTACAGGCCCCAGACGGTGTGTCACGAAAAAATCGTTTTAAAAATCAAGTCAATTGTAATGCGAACAGCAAATAACTTATTCAGAGGAGTACATAATTATACACATTTTCAGGGGTGATTTACTCAGTTTCAACGAAAATGTAATATTTTGGAGATTTTTCATTATTTTCAATATTTTGAACGTTTCCGTTCAGTGAAAAAATGGCAAATTTCAAAGCCCAAAATCGTCGACTGGTACCTCGATTTCAGTAAAGGTCTTATACCACGTTAAAGAGCGTTATCTCTTCTTTCAAACTCTATTTTCAAAACTATGGGCAACTTAAAAGGAAATTTTTGAGGCCAAAAAATACAAGTAGTACTTTTCTGAAATTTGAGCTTTCCTCGGTCACCGGGGCGATGCTAAAACTCGGAAAAATACTATAAGAAATCAGTTTGAGCAACAGTGGTTTAATGTTATCAGCTTTCAGCAACCAAGACGTGTTTATCCAGCGATCTAGCCTGATATAATTTGAAAGCGTTTGCTAACATGAAAGGCCATAAAGGCAGATTTAAGCTGTCGACTCCTGCCAAGTGCACGTTGTCAAAGGGCAAAGCACTAATTAAAAAAGTCTTAAAATTCAAAACTTTTTACGTGCAGGAAGTCGGATTTTAGCGTACAAAACAATGTTGTGAGTATTTGTTGTTCGTACCTTAACATGGTGTTCCCAGATATTGGAAATGTGAAGTATCCACACAGCCGGGAGAACAGATCAAGATCAACAACAGCAAAAATCCAAACGGGCAAAGATTGCGTTACATTTCACAGAACGACCGCTTACCACTGTTGTCACTCTTTGCATGCTTTCACTGGAAGCTGCGAGAAGTTTTCAATCCTTAGGTATGACTCTTGATCAGCGCTTCCTTGAAAGTACGAACCCGGACAGAATCAGGGTAAGGACGTTTCTCGTTTCGGCTTTAGTCTCCTTCGCCTTGAGCGCTCCTCTCTTGCGGTTTTCGCGGGAGTTCAGGGTGTGGTCCACCTAGTATTTCACGTCTCTATTAAATGAAAGGCAGCACCTCTTGTTCACCATTTCGTTGTCAGGCAGCGGCTTATAGAGTCAGCCTTTCGTTGATTTTTTGTCAGTGTCATTTAATTACTCAGTATACGCTCGATTCTGGCCTTGTAAACTTATACTTTTATACTCTGAGGGAGCCAAATAACTATATTAAAAGGGCATCCCTCTTTTTTTCTTCGTTTAGCGTCGTCCGACCGACCCAATTTTTTGGCATTATCGCAAAAAAAGGGGGAAAAGGAAAGGAAAAAGAAACGACAAGGTTTAACTTTTTTGACCTTAATTAATTCTTTTAATTGAAAGATGAGCATTATAACAACATCTCCAGGCATAAGAGGTTCGGTGGTGTATCCCTTTTTCTATGAAATGGACCACTCTTTTTTCTGCCATATTGAGTTTGTTTCGATTTGATGATTGTCTTGTTGAGAGAGACACGCGTATCTCCTTGCGCGCCCGTTCTTTATCGCACCCTACATCAAAGCGCCTGCTACACAGCTATGTCTCGTTGTTTTCAAGCTCCACCAAAGGGAACCCGCGTTCTTATTTGTAAACTGCACATGGAAGTTAAATGACAGGTAAGAACTTACCTGTTCCGTTCTTGTACAAAAATAAAAAGCGCGGGGATTTGGTGAACGTTTGGGCAATTGGGTGGGGTTAGGGCTCATTTCTGCTCTCCGGTTCACTCGCGCGATGTCAAAAACAAAAGGATTAACGTCTGTGGACAGACTATTCA